ATAGGCAGCTGTCCTCATTGTGCTATTTGCAAAGGAAGCTTTTTGACAACAGAATGGCTCGTCATGTGCAGATTGTCACAGGCAGATGCCAAGTGTATCACTCTGGTCCTCGGATACAACTGCCGGAATTCACGACCTTGACCAAGTTTTTATTTGAGGAAGCCTCGGGGTACTCACGGCGAACAGCTCTAGTGAGACAGTTAAGCGTTCTGAATGTCTAAGGCTATTCTCGTTGTTTTAAAACTACAAGGAGCCACTAAGTTTCCCTGAAGAGTTTTAATTGTTGATTTCTAGAAAGGCATTGACTCCGGGATTTCCTTTACGCTGTAGAGAATAATATGCAAGACATTTTGTTAAAACGTTTACTTTGCAAAGAGACACATTAGTATGTACGGGCAAATTGCGCATGTATCTGAGTGTGGTATCGGTTATGAAATGTGCAGAACAAATTCGGCCCCTTAGAAGAAATACAAGATATAGAACAACAATGGGAACAGCTTAAAATATAAAAAATGAAGCTGCAAAAGACGTCATACAAGATAGGACAACAAAATCAAAGAAGAAATGGGTGGCTGAAGAAATTTTTCATTTAATGGAGGAACAAAGGACAAACAAAAACAACCAGGAAGAATATGAGAATCTTCACAAAGAAATCAGACACAAGTGTAATCTAGCAAAAGAGACCTGGTTAAAAGAAGAAAGTGGGGAAATGGAAAATCGTTCCAATGCGAACTCAAAAGATCTGCACAGACAAATCAAAGGGTGGGAATATCATCATGGATGACGATAAGATGCTGGAATGATGGACAGAAATATATCGGTGACCTGTACAATGACAATAGAGATGAACAAAGAAGAGTGGAAAAGGACAACGAGGGCCCACCAATCATGAAGGAACAAGTTATCAAAGCACTAAGAAAGATGAGGAATGTGAAAGCTGCAGGACCTGACAACGTTACCACAGAGAGGATTAAAGCTTTACGGGACTTTGGTATCACCACACTAACAAAACTTCTCAACAACATGTAGGAAACTGGACCTATTCCTCCAGACTTATCAAAATCTATCTTCATAGCTTTACTAAAGAAGCCTAGTGCAAATGGATGTGAAACTAATCGTACCATCAGCCTCATGAGCCACGTGACAAAAATACTACTTAGAATAATAATGATGAGAATACGAAATAAAATTATCCCAGAAATAGCCCAAGAACAGTGTGGATTTATTGTAGGCAAAGGCACTGTAAATGCCACATATATCATCAGAACAACATTAGAACGAGCCCGGGAAGTTCAGAAAGATCTTCATTTATGCTTTATAGACTACACCAAGGCATTCGACAAAGTTAAGCCCGACAAGATCATCGACATGCCAGAAGTCCTCAATATTGACGGAAATGACTTAAGAATTATCAATAACATGTACAATGTATTGTGATCAAACCGCTGCAATAAGAAAAGAAAACGATATCAGCGAATACATAAAGAATAAAAGAGGGGTCAGACTGGTATGTGTACTTTCACGAGACTTGCTCTTCCTGTATAGTGAAAATATCATGAGATATGAAGAAATATCAGGTACATTGTATCTCGATAGGAGGACATAACGTAAACAATCTAAGATATGCAGACGGCACAGTCCTAATAGCAGAAGATAACCAACACCTACAGGATCTAATAAATGTCATCGTACTAGAGAATGACAACATGGGCCTAAGCCTAAACATTTAAAAAACTGAAACAATGGTGATTAGCAGAAAAACTCCAAACCCAACCTGCAATATCAAAATCAAAGGTACAACGTTTTAAATGTTTGGGGACCATTATATCATCAGATGGGAGATGTCACACCGAAATTAAAAGCCGCATTGGTCAAGCAAAAGCAAGCTTCCACAAAATGAAACAGATACTTACAAACAGCAATCTGTCACTGGAAACAAGAAAAAGAGTATTGAAAAATAACATCGAGCAAATCCTATTATACGGGTGCGAAGCATGGACAATCAATAAGACAGCTGGAAAGAACAACTGAGGCGACCGAGTTGTGGTTCATAAGACGCATGTTGCGTATCCCATGCACAGCTAGAAAAACAAAATGAAGAAGTCTTAGATGAAGTGAATTGCAGACGACAGCTTATGACGAATATACGAAAGCGACAGGCAAATTTCATTGGACACACAATGCGGAAAGAAGCATTGGAGAAAATTGTAACAACAGGCAAGTTTGATGGAAAGAGAGGCAGAGGCAGACCAAGGGAAAAGATACTGGACAAGTTAACAACATCTGGAAACAGCAAGAACAACAGGCACCATTGTTGCAACGCAGGATAGAGGGAAGTGAAGGTCCATGATCGCCCACGCCAGTCGGCAGGGCACCGAATGATGATGATCGATTATGAGGTAGCTGTGGCTGAATCAGAATCTCGACCTAGATCTAGATCTAGATCATGTTTAGCTGATTGAGTGTTCACTGAAAACCGTTCAAGTTGTAGACCTTTCTACCAGGTTGGGTGTCGGTGGGTATACATTGTTGAGCTGAAAATGGTTCGTTGAGTTTGTCTCAGAAGAACCAGGAAATAAGTAAATATACAATGTATTAGCAACCTAGTATAAATAGATTTGTATGCCCGATGCAATTTAGATCTAGATCTTGTCGCACTCAAAAAGAAACGAAAGGGCGAAAAGGGCTCCTTCACAGAAGCTTGCACTACAGACTGGCAGAAATTTGCCAGAAAAGTACACGGTGGGGGTGCACAAGGAAAGATTGTACTGCCAGCATCACAACAGTTCCAGGGCGCAATGCCAAACTGAAACCTATAAAGGCTTGAATAAAAATTTTAAAATACAAATACAAAAAAAAAAAGAAATAACAGTCTTGACGGCTAACGGAAGAGGTCTACTACTTAAACTTTTGCTTACAGAATTTCAAGTCGATACCTTGTCGAATACCTGCACAACCTAAGAAATACCAATGATAGTACATAACAAGATGGGCCACTCAGCCAAAAAAGTGTCCGCAGGAAGTATGCTCTTTGCTTCAGATGGCGC